CAAACATTTTGTTTACTTCACCTCGATTTAATCCTTGAGTCCTTGCAATAGACAAACCTTCTGCATGGCGAATACTGAGTTCTGGGTGTCGTTGAAGAAATGATTTGAGTCAGTGCTGACCAGCCATACGTGTCTCTTTGTTAAAAGAAACCCAGTTTCTCGGAAAATCCAAAAGCGAGTCTTCTTACATCCTGTCGTGTTGTGGGAAATCCTGCCTTTTCTAATTTTTGTATGTGCGATACGAGACGTTTCTCGCTGTCAAAGTCCATAGTGGGGCCTCTATCCTTTTTAGTAGGGATAGACGCCCCAGCAAATAAATAAAAATACTTAAATAATTTCTATTTAAATAACAATACACACTTAAAACTTACCTTCGAAAACGAAAGTTCTGAACACGTCAAAATGTCACTGTCACAACTTGGTTTTAAAGTCTCTTCTTTTAAGGTGCGGCGTCTATCCTCCAAGGGCGTCTATCCCACTTTTATCCTATAGAGAAGGTCGGCATCGGTTGTGACAATTTTTACGTAACGTAACAAGATTGCTTTCGAAAAATCGTCACTGTTCGGGGCAAGTTCGTAGCGCGTAGCGCGATGCAGCTTCGGAGTTGCTTGTCTTAGAGGGACGCACTGTCTTTTTATCGTGCTCCTGCGGACCACTATGGAACTTTCGCAAAATCGAAGTAACTGTATTTTGTACACACCATCTATAAAGCGTCTTTTAATTATCGCCGAATTTTAAAGTGACGACAAACTTTGATAAATACAAGAAATTTTACTAGTAATAACTATTTCCAATTATATTATTCCATCTCGTGCATAATTTATCCACTAAAACGACAATTTTCATGGTCTTTTAGATTTTTTGCCCATAATTGTACGGTTGTATAATTGTACCCTGTACGTAATTGAAAAAAAATCGCAATTGGAAATTATAGCCCTGGATCTTCCACGTTTCCTCTTCCAAGAATTTTTCCATAATAGTAAATAGTTTTTGGAGGAACTAAGTTTTTTTCTGAAACCATGCAGTGCGCCGTAATAATCAATGACGTCATCGCGTCTTGACTGAGCAACCGAAATACCGATTTTAAAATGGATTTGGATGGAAAATTATATCTCTTGATGCGATCTATGACAGTGTTAGCCATATTTTGTACGATTTTTGTTCTCTTGTAAGGACACATAGAAAAATAAGATGTAACAAAATATGAACCAGTTTTACTTAAAAAAAAAACAAACGTAAAACCGTTATTGGTCCTTATTTCCAACCCTTTATTTATTTAGTGGAAAATAAGTAAATAAACTACTCATTACACTCCAAATATGTAACAGCTTCCGGATCATCATCAGTAAGCCCCATACAATCATCATGCATGCAAAACTTGCAGTTTCTATATTGCCTCCCATCTGCTACTCTGTTTTCACCGCAGATAACGCCAGATCAGTCCTCATCATCAACGGTATTTGCCGAGCTGTTTCTAGGTAAATTCAATGATAACAAGGAATCTTTTTTAAATTGCCTGGAGGCTTTGGAATTTAAATTTCCTGTTTAACGACAGCTTGGGATCGCAAGAGGCAAAGCATCGTTCTCATCGAAATTTTCTTAACTATACCAATGACGGTCCGCATTTTTTTTTATTTGTTTTTTTTTGTTTTCATTTGAGTAACCCCAGCGATTATACGACTCTTTAGAACAGCAATAGGCACATCATAATCTGAGCTGGAAGCGTTTGGGATATTAATCTCGGGTTCATGTTGAACTCCTTCCTGCTGTGTGGGAAGACTTGGCCCATATGCGTGGTACACTTGTATCAAATGTGTGGCTGTGAATCCATGTGTAACATTATCGATGGTCATACATCTCCCCCAAAATAGCGTAAAAACTTCAGGGAATCATTTTCCTATCTGGGAACATCTCCTCATCCCAAAAATGTTCGCAAGAACGGAACACGCTTTCGTCGAGGTATTGGAGTTCATATGTGGTATTTGATGGAATGCATTATAAGTGAATTTCCAGTTGGAGAACAGGCGGCTGAATAAACTTGGAAAAGTGACTGAGCCATTCAATAAATAAGGTAGTGGAGGCATCTCACTTGAGATCCAGGAGGTAATCCCTCACTAAAAGTTGGTTTCTGCCCTTTAAACAATACCATGGGTGGGATAGCATTTCCTAATGCATTTTCGCAGGTAACAATCGTACAATTTTCAGCGTGTTCTGGAGCAACCAGATGGACTCGCTTGTTCCTCTTTTTGGCAATGAGTATCTGTTCAGGATGCAGAGTTAGTCTGCATCCTTTACCATGCATGTTGTATATCTTTGCCGGTTGATGTTTGAAGCCATATTTTTCGAGAACATTATCAAGTTTTTCAAAATACTCGTTAACATTGAAGGGAATAAGCTTTGCCGCCCTAGCATGATTCATTGACTCTGCCTATCGTTGAGACAAGAAAGGATGTCGCTTCATAAATGATTTATACGAGTCATGTCCAGCTTTTTTTTCTCGTTGTTGAAATGGCTAGGGATGCCTTGGTTTTCAACATACTTGAATACGCTTCGTAGTGCCTTTGGTGTCAAGGGAAATCCTTTTTTCCGAAAATATAATGATTTTCCGAACTATATCAATTTCTTGTGCTTCATTGAAGGTAGGCCTTGCCCCCGGAATGGTTTCTAAGGGTGCGATGTGATATACCACATGTTGTTTCCACATAAGGCTAGGAGTTTCCTTGACGTAGAAGCTTCTTCTATCATGTCCTGCTTCCAATTGGCCCTCAAGCCGCGGCATTTCTTATTCTATATTTCTGTAAAGAAAAATTAAAAAATGTATAAGATAATAAGGCTCATTAAATTCAAGTGGTGGGTAATAAGTCCCGACTGATATCTGCCACGAAGTCGTGTTCATGATATGTTAAATAAAAAAACTGAAATTTACACTTCAATGCTGGCTTAGTAACTGTATTGTTTGTTTCGAAAAAACGCGGTCGCTCAAACATAAATTTTTATAAATAAACTTGGCGAAACTTTGAATGGTATCCAGTGGAAAACTACCGAACTTAATCGTGTATGCCAGTTTGCGTATTTAATTTAGTTAACAGACCAACCCATAGAGGATGCTATAGTACTTATTAATTCTTTTTTTATTATCTGCGTGGGCGTTATTAGCTGTAGGGACCTTATAAGCACGATTTTGTGGAGGAAAACGTCACCGTTACTAACATTGTCTATATACTCAGTACCGACAGGTCGAATTAGAATACAAAGATATCCAGCTAGCGTTTGACCAAATTGATCATCAAATATTACTGCGTAAGTTGTAGAATTTGAATATGGAAGCTACAAGTCTAAACTTTTTGTTGCTAGGTCAAGGGTCGAGTTCGGGTCCCTTATTTTTTTTTACTTTCGTTCATTTGATGTGATTTATCCATTACGGTAAACTTACCTCATTTGTTGTTTACTAAAGATCTTTCTGCACATCACCAAACACAATGATTGCAAGGAATTACAAATAACGGTCCCATATTGTTTGACGATAGGCTCGAGGGCTGATATGTTCAGAGAGATGGTTGTCGTTTTTAACCCTAATTTTTATTGAACACATATCAAGAAAAACGGCAAGCGCATCCAAATTACTGGGCTACTGGATTAGGAACTGGCGAGGTCTGTCCCACATATTGCTTACACAACGTTTATAGCATCTATAATACGCTAATTTTATCCAACATTTCTGACTTGTGTGATATTAAATTTGACACACTGTACACTGTTATTTGTAAACGTAAAGACAATCTAAAGGATAATTAAATCATTTTTTGCTTCTTTTTGCTGCCACTTATTGTTTTAATATTTTTTTTTATTTCAAAGATTTTTTGTAATTGGGTGCAGTAAACAAAACTGGAATTGCCAAGTTTTTGAGATACTCGCCCCTTACGAGTACAGAAATATTTTAATAGATTTTTCTGTAAAGTTCAGTTTCGCATATGAGTTTTTTTACATATTTGATATTTTTGACTTTTAAATATAACAGATATAAACAGAGCATAAACTTTGCATTTTTTAGCCTTTTCAAAAGTATATAATGGTGTACACGAAAAAGGTAATGTAATAATATTAAAGTATAAAAAAAGAACAAATAACATTTAAAAAAGGAAACCCAAAATTTTCCTATAATGCCAATTTGGAACATTTTTCTAACTCTTTTAGTAGTATTAAGAAGAAATATTCTCCTGCGTCACTGATTTCGAAAGGTTAAATCAAGTTTTATAAGATGCAGATCAGGGTAGACGTGTATTGAAATTTTGACTTATTTTGATTTTTGTGTCAAGGGGGACGTTTGCAGTTCTAAATATGTCTGTCGATTTCTACTGAATAAAAGACTTTGTTATATAACTAATTAAAATATATCTATATCTATCTAATCTATATCTAATATATAATATTTAGTGTTCAATTATGCTGATAATTAATACATATTCCCATTTGATTATGAATTTAATTTTAGAAAATGGTAATTTATCTTCTTGTTTCCGCAAAAAAAGTGTTATAAAATTTTGCAAGAGTTGAAAGAGAAACAAATTGTATAACCTGTAAATGAACAGTGTGTTCCATTAAAAAAAACATAAATTTGGGTTAGAACTCAAAAACGGTAAACTTATTGAAAAACATATCGCTATCTACTGGAAAACATCAATTCCGATGTTCGATCTTTTCAAAATCAACCTGTATCTCAAAAAATAGCATTTTTGGTTAACTTTATCTCAGTAGAATATACTACGTTCTCAGTAGAAATAAAAAAATGAATGACACAATAAAAAAATAAAAATAATTTACTTAGAATAATCAAAGTAACCAACGGTTTTTATATAAATTAAAAAAAAATCAAAATTAATAGCGACCCGTCAAAGATACTCCGTTAGCTGTACGAAACTTGGAAGGTAAAGAAAAATCATTTTGAAAATGCCTATGCCTATGCCTATGCCTCTTCTAACCCAAAAATCTTTTGCTTCTAGTTACGGTTGCCTGATTTTCATGGCGACCCAGATAGCATCGGGCATGAAGTATTTGGAGTCCCTCAAGTACGTTCACAAGGATCTCGCAGCAAGGTAAGCATAATAAAATTGCTTTCGAAAAAGCGTCGCTGGGCGGGGCAAGATCGTAGCAGTTTTTTATTAGAAAAGGAAAGTGCTTCACGGTTTCGTGTGTTAATCCATGTTTTTCTATCGTGCTCCTGCGGACCACTATGGAACTTTCGCAAAATCGACGTAATTTAATTGCGCACGCACCCTGTATAAAGTGTCTTTCACTTTTTGACGAACTTCGTAACAGTAAACATCGGTAAATATTAAAATTTGCACAAATAATAGCGATGTCGAATGATATTTTTTCAATTATCTCGCGCCCTGTATAATTTACGACACCTGAAACTCTCTCTCGACATAGTTTACGAAATTGTTCAAGTAAAATTATCCCATCTTTAACGGATTCTCATTTATCGCCAATAATTTACCCACAAAAACGGAAATTTTTAGGATCTTTTAGAATTTTTTCCGATAAACGCCACACCCTGCATATGATTCAAACAATGTTCGAAGTAAAGGTTACAGCCCTGGATATTCCAGGTTTCGTGGTCCAAGAATTTTATGAAAATAGTAAATTGTTTTCGAGAAAATAAGTTTTTTCTGAAACCATGCAGTGCACCGTAATCATCAATGACTTCATTGCGTCTTGACAGCCAATGAAATAACGATTTCAATATGGATTTTTTCAAATATCCCGAGCAGCGTATGAAAACCGCAAATACAAAAATTTTAGTTCTTGAAGCGGCCTATGACATTGTATGAACCAAGTAGCCATATTTTTCACGATTTTTGATTTGCGCCTAATAATTTACTCCGTCAAAGAACAATTTTCTATGTCTTTTAGATTTTTGCCTAAAATTTGAAAACGCTGTATATAATCGAAAAATGCCTGAAATAAATGTTATTGCATTGCAAGCATATTTTTCTGGAAGCTAAAATTACCAAAAAATTTTTTTAAAAAATGCTTGGTAAAATTTAATTGCACACAATTTCTACATTTTAAATGTGGACACGGACTTTTACTTCTTTGCTAAATTTGAAGTTGATATCTGTAAATTTAGGACACTTCACACATTTCTCATTTAGCACGGAATATCGGGAACTCCCTGTACAATAGGTGAAAACCTTAAATACAAAAGTTTTTACTATATATGCAATATAAAAGAAAGTGAGATCTGAATCATAGTCCATAGTTCAATAATAAGGGGACCCATTTTTCATTTTTTTTTAATTTGCGGCGCACCCTGTATATTTTTGAAAAATTGTCAAGAATGGAAGTTTAAGGGGCAGTATCTTTTGCGTCCTCTGGTTAAAGAATTGTTTTGGTCTCGTAAACGGTTTTTCAAAAATGATGTTTCTTGTAGACCCTTGCACACGCGAGTTTTTATTTTTTTAGAATACTTCCCTACCCACCTATTTTCAATAGTTTCCGTCACGGGACAAAGCTGCATATGTGTGCCAAATATGAAGTCGGCTGCTTCAAATTTCGGACACTTATCGTGTTTCATAGCAATGTCCAAAAAACTGTCGAAAATCGCGAACAAAAGACGGATAGCGGAGTCGGATCAGGGCCACCTCTTATGAGCTTATGTGCCTCGTGGACGGTTAAAAACTAGCCAAATTTTAATTTTGTAGCTCTAATGGTTCGGAAGTTATTCAGGAAAAAGCCAAAGACGAGAACGGAGAACGGAAAATTGACAGGCAAATAAAAATTTTTTTCGACGGTGATAATTTCTGTACCAACGGCGATCCCATAGGACCTACCGTTACCGTTGATCGATTTTCGAAAGTAACAAGAAGCGTTTCTCCAAAGACCATCCGAATTACCGTTCCATTTCACCGTTCGAGTTACAAATTGGCCCGAACTTTGGCTCATTTGTTTATCATTTAATTATAAAAATAATTGAGTTACTAATTGAAGTCTATTAAAACGAGGTGGCAAGCCAACACAAATCTCAAGTCGCTAATTAAATTTTACCCGTAATGATTAGCTCCCTTTCATTTGACAAGGAGAGAGAAAGAGAGAGAGTAGGCAGCGTCGGACCGGCCGTATATGGCCGGGATGCTAATTCGATTAATTTATAGGCGAATATTTAGCTAGAATCGCACGAACCAGAATCCGCTACTAACGAATTCGGATTTTAGCAGATTCGGTTTCTGCTTCGTCCGCTGAAACGCGTAATTGGACTGATTTTCGTCGCGCCGGTTGGTCATATGAGGATGAAAGTGACATTTGTTGTTTTTTAATAATGATGGTGTTTTAAGGGGTGATTATATATTTCTTACCACATAAAATCTTCTGCGCATGTCACGTCAGATTACAGGACAATTTGACATGCCCTTTAGCACGACTTATTGTAAATAGTGAGTAGTACAACTTGTGGCAAAAATAATTGCAAAATGAATTATGCTGACGTAGTTTAAAATTTTTAATAAATTAATGTTGTGCACATCTTTTTTTCACAAAGCCCCACTACATTTTTATTTCATTTGATGTTTTATATCACGATTATCAAATTACATTTGCACTAGAATATACATATATACATACAAAATATTCGATAGGAGCAGATTTGAGGCACAATGTATTTTAGCAGAGATAATTAGAGCAACACGACTTTACTACAAGGGGATATAAGTGTTCTTGAAGAGTACAGAAAAGTCGCGAGAGAGATAGCCAATATTTTGTAGAACGTAGGAGTTCTAAATAATAATAATAATAATAAATAAAAATTCTTTTTAGATTATCTTTGTTGGTTGGTACTTGGGTTCGTTCCCAGTACAATGAATTTTTAAAAAAGTGTGCAAACCCTGTTAGGTTTATTGGAATGCGTAAAATTTTGTGTGCATATACACTCTCATAAATTATTTTGTATGGTTCAAGAAGAATTGATTTGTATTCATTCGAGAAATCCATTTTTTGATCACTGTGCTGCACTTTTTCACTTTTAGTTAGTTTGGTTAGTTTTGCAAATAAAATATTTATAATAATATAACCTCAAAACCCAGAGAAGTTGTATTACGTATATATGCCGTATATGTGTATGTGACAGTAAAAATGAAAATTAAAGTTGCATTAGGCTTACTAAAGCTGTAAAAAAATATTTTTCTAAAAAGGTATTTACTTACCTAAACTAGAAATAAAGTACGTAACAACGCGTCCCTTATATTGTCAATACTTTCAAATCCCAATAAAGCAAAAAAGAATCGTAAAGATTTGGGGTTCCAGCAAATATTTCGACATGTACAAAGAGAAATTGGTAGATACATGTACAAAGTCAAGGCAGGTGAAAGTGAAATTCCAGCCAACGAAAATAGAAATGGTGGAACAGTGATGACACTCATGACACTTGGTTCAAAGGATGGCCCAATTTTTCCGGAAGGTGTAAGTAGTAACGGTTACTCAAACTACTTTTTACAAAACTTCTGGATTCCTCTTGCGTCGGTTTTTGCTTAGTCGAAATTGCTGACGTTTCGCCGATCATCCTGTTGGCTTCATCAGAGCTTGACCGAAACTGGTTGGCATTTCACTCTGTACCTGCTTATATATTGTTTGAATGGCAGAGCTAAAGGGAGAGACCTGAGTCGCGGTTAAGATTGTTAGGTTGTTTATAGATTTCTATAGACTCTCAGATTTTTCGTTGGTAGAAGAATTTTAGTTTTATCGAATAAAATTTTAAGTTCGGTTTCGTGATTGTGTTCGTCAACAGCTGATGGGATGAGACTAATATATAATAAATACGTAATAAATATGCATTGACACTAGACTTTTCGAGTCCCCAGAAAAGTAATTTTCGCCACCATTTTAAAGACTTCCTCAGGAAACACTATGACGCTGAATAAGAGTCTGCGCGGTCCACGCCTCCCAATTTATTGTAATTGATCCCTACAATTGGCTTATTTACAACTTGTAAGTTATGGTCTGTTTATAGATATAAGAAAGTGACCAATTTATTTTGAATGGGATTATCCAAGGGTGGTCATTAACATACAATGCAACAAGATTATGACCTAAAGTTTCGGAATTTAAATTCACTTAAAATTGTGATCGGTAATAGAAAATAATTTTATACCTACCTGTGTTTAATATTCTTTGGTTTGGGATACTACTTAGTTTAAGTTTATTAGTAATCATTCTTATTTCGTGTGTAATACAGCGTGTGTTGAATCGTGCTCGAATTATGCAAAATATGTGCGAGTCTAGTGTATCTCAGTAGATGCTCTCGCCCAAATGTAGAAAACACTATTCTATTAAGACTAAGAAAGTTATAAACAATGTTTATTTGACTCTAATTGAACGTGGTGCCAGCAAGCAAGCATCTTTAGAAGAAACGGCCGCATTGACGAAAATTCCAACATCAACTGTATGGAAAATTGGGAATAATCCCATTTCAGCGAGGAAAAAAAGAAGCGTTGCTGACATTTTCTCGAGTGTAGATAAAAGTGATCAAGATATAATACGGCGTAAAATTTACCAGTTATACGAGGAACAAAGCGTGCCTACCGGTGTTAAATGTGGCAGAACTACCTTATGAAAGTGTATTGAACACATGGGTTTTAGATTTGAAAAAATTGACAAAACGCAAATTTTAATGGAATCTTTTTGAATTCGGAAATGGCTACTGGAATATCTAGAAAAAGTTAGGATTTACAGAGAACAACATAGGTCAATTATTTACTTGGATGAAACTGTTGGATTCACTCAGCTGATAAGTGTAAAACAAACGCACCATCAAAAAGAGGTAAAAGAATAATTATTTTGCATGCTGACTGTAAAGATGGTTGGATTCCAAAAGGACTTTCTCTGTCTGCGAAAAATATTAAATAACCACATCTAGTTTCACGAAGATTATACCAAAAAGCAATTAATTGAGGTTCTACAAAGCTTGAACCTAAAAAAGGAATACGTCTGTGAAAATTATGCAAAAAATCTAGGGCATACAGTTTTAAGGCTTCCACCTGACCACTGTATATTTCATCCCATTGAATATGTTTGGCACTAACTGAAATCTGCCATTCGTCGT